CTGCCCTCAATGAATTTATGGTTAACATTGACTCTATCTTTTGGTTCTGAATCGAATTCTCTTTTTCTGCTAAGCTTCAGCTGCCACCTCAGTCCACAAAATGCCAGTCACTGAGGAATGTAGGAATGAGAGCCGATATGTCTCCACCATGCTTAATTTTAGCTGCTGATCTAAACCATGTAGTTTGACACCTTGTGCAGAATTCCACAGACAAAGTGCTGTGGAATTGGACATGGTCTTACAAGAATTACACTTGCTCCTGGCTCTCCCTGATGACCTATGTTTTGATATTTGAAGCTACGTGGAGCCCGGTGGTGTCTGGTGACCCTGATGAAAGTTAAAACTGATTTAGAAGTTGATGATGCTGCCTGTGTCATGTCCAAGACATTTATTAACATAAGGCCAATGCAAATATATCTTGCAGCTGAGGCGAAATGGATCTGGGGTGAAATACCTAATTTCTAATTCTGGTTCTGCTGTTTACTAGTTGTATGACTTTGCCACTAAATAACTTTGTGTCCTATTGTCCTCATCTGTAAAATAGGTGTAATAATACCAATCTTTAAGAAGAGAGGAGTGCTAGAGATCTTCAAGAGGGAGATGTAATCCAAGGTAGAGAGTCCTGGCTTTTATCTAGCTTTTTCATATCAGTGTCATGTCAGTTACAGGCCATACGAAGTTTGTGCCAGTTTCATACTAGTCACTAGTCACAAGAAATTTTGTTTTGTTTTTTGAGTTGGAGTCTCACTCTTGTCGCCCGGGCTGGAGTGCAGTGGCACGCTCACGGCCACCGCAGCCTTGACCTGCTGGGCTTAGGCGATACTTCTGCCTCAGCCTTCCAAGTAGCTGGAACTACAGAGGCATGCCACCACACCCAGCTAGTTTTTGTGACCTTACTATAGAGATGAGGTCTTGCCAAGTTGCCCAGGCCAGTCTCGAATCCCCTGGCTCAGGAAATCCACTCGCCTTGGTCACCCAAAATGCTGGGATTATAGGCTGAGCCTCCGTACCTGGCCTCCAATTGCATTTTTTCTTTGTACCTTTCTGATGACTCTCATTTTCCTCTGATTTGTGTGTGTGTAGCCCATCCTTTCCACTAGACTAAAAGTCCCCTGAGGGCCAGGACTGCATTCACACATCAACAAACCCGTGTCTTTCACTCCAGATGGTTTTGATACATTGAAATGTTGAATTGAATCAGATCAGAAGCTCCCAGGGAGGGAGGAAGGGGAGAGCATTTTTCAGTAAATACATATTTTTGAAGGCTAGTCAAGTGAAGCAGTAGGAATGGTAAAGAAACAAAGAAATCCATCACTGGTTGTGATCAATTATTCAATGAATAAATTTCTGAAGCCTCAATCATATCTCAGACACTGCTTTGGTTGCTGGAGATACAGTAGTAAATAAGACATACAAAAATCTCTATTCTCATAGAGATTATATTTGAAGTGGGACAGAAAACAATAAACATGTATCTCGCCCAGTATCTTCTATAATATATTGGGAGGGAATGCTAACTAAATGTTTGTTTATATTGGAATCTTGAGTGAATTCAGTGGGAGGAATATTGGATTAGAGGCAGAGGTGTAAAACACTTAACCACACTGTATTGTCATTACCTGTTTATATGTTGTTCTTCTCCATGTGTTTAGAGGTCTTACTATCCTGCACAATCTCAGTGTCTAGTACAGTGCCTAGCAAAGAGAAGAGTTCGATAATTCTGTGCTGGATGACAGCATTTTACACAGTCACCCTGTGAACTTGGGCAACTCTCTTGGTTTCAGTTTTTTCATCAGCTGAATGGGATGTTACCTAACCCATAGGGTGTTGTGAGGACTAAATGCTCCCCTTTGCTGTTTCCAAGTCATTTTCCCTCTGCCTCCATAAAGTTTAGCTCCTTTAATTCCTTGCCATTCCAACTTGCCACCTGCTATTCTGTATTGTTGCTGTTATCTACTCATACTCTGGGCATTAGCCCTCATTCAGTGTGATTTTAGCTCTTAGTTTTCTCTTCTTTTACATTGCTGTTCCTGGGTGACTTCAAAATGTACTTGGGCAGTACTCTACAACTCCTTTGCATCTCTGTTCCTGGACCTCCTCATCTGTAAATCTGTTCTATCAAATCTGACCTTAATCATCCATGCCTGTGGTCATGTGTCAATCTTTATTCTCTCAATAACTGTTCCACTTCCAAAATCTTGACTTCAAGTGGCCATCCCATTTTCTTTTTTTAAAAAATTAATTGATCAATTAATTAATTTTATTTTAAAGATGTTGGGTACAATTCAGGATTTGGTATACAAGTGGTCGTTGTACAGGTAAAGTTCGGGCCTCCCTTTGGATCCCACTTTGCCTGGTTTGAGACAGGTACCCTTATTGATGTTGTGTCCTGGCCCTCCGTCCCATCTTCTGACCAACACTTCTTACTCTTCCAGGTTACCTACTCCCACTCCAGCACTTCCTTGGCCTTATCAAGACCTGCAATTCATCATTCCTGCCCTTCCTGTTCTCAATTTTCCTTCCTTCCTTCCTTCCTTCCTTCCTTCCTTCCTTCCTTCCTTCTTTCTTTCTTTCTCTCTTTCTCTCTTTCTTTCTTTCTGTCAGAGTCTCACACTGTCTCCCAGGCTGCAGTGTGGTGGCATACTCACAACCATCGCAGGCTCAACCTGCTGAGCTCAAGTGATCCTTCTGCCTCAGCTTTCCAAGTAGCTAGAATCACAGGTATGCACCACCACACCAGGCAATCTTCTTGCCTCCACATTCCAAAATGTTGGGATTACAAGCGCCTGGCCTCTCAATTTCTTTCTTATCCAGAATAGGTTTCCTAGTCTATGATTATAATCGCATACAAGAATATCATTGTGAACTTAACTGTCTTTCCTCCCCCTTTATATCACTTACTTGGTTAAATCCATCTCTTTATACACTGTTAGTCCTGAACAGCACATTGCTGAAATAAAGCCAAACATGCTTTTTTTTTAGAGACAGAGTCTTGCTCTGTCACCCAGGCTCAGTGTAGTGGTGCAATCATAGATCACTGTAGTCTTGACCTCCTGGGCTCAAGTGATCCTCTTGTCTTAGCCTCTCAAAGTGCTGGGATTACAGGCATGAAACACCACATCTTATCTCTTGACATCCCTATTGACTGGTTTCACTTTAAATTCATGACCATAAATTTTATTTACTTATTTATTTTTTGAGTAGAGTCTCACTCTGCCACCCAGGCTGGAGTGCAGTGACGTGCTCACAGCCACCGCAACCTTGACCTGCTGGGCTCAGATGATCCAGCCTTCCAAGTAGCTGGAATCACAGGTGCACGCCAACACACCCAGCTAATTTTTTGATTTATTGTAGAGACAAGGTCTTGCCAAGTTGCCCAGGCAGGTCTTGAATACCTGGACTCAGGCAATCTTCTTGTCTCCTCCTTCTGAAGTGCTGAGATTACAGGCATGAGTCACCACGCGCAGTTGCTGATCTTTCAACATGCCAAACTCACCCTTAACATCTGGTCTTTACACTTGCTATTCCTTCCCCTTGGAAGGCTCTTTCCCCAGGGTCCCTCCTTCACTTTCTTCAAGTCTTTACTTAAAAGTTTACCTTCTCATTCAGGGCATCCCAGCTTGGGAATTTAAAATAGCAGCCCCAGTGCCCTACTTCTTTCCTTGTTTATTTTTTCTCCATAACACTTACCAATTTTTTTTTGGAGTCTCACTCTGTAGCCCAGGCTGGAGTGCAGTGGTCCGCTGCAACCTCAATCTGCTGGGTTCAGGCGATCCTTCCGTCTCAACCTTCCAAGTAGTTGGAACTACAGGCATGTGAATCATGCCTGGCTAATTTTTCTGATTTATTGTAGCGATGACATCTCACCAAATTGCCCAGGCTGGTCTTGAACTCGTGGGCTCAGGCAATCCTCACACCTCGGCCTTCCAAAGTGCTGATATTATAGGTGTGAGCCACCATGCCCAGCCTCCAATTTTTAATATACTATATAATTTACTATTTATTTGATTGCTCTCCCATGTGTCCTGAAGGCTCTGCTGTGTCCTCAAAGCCTAGAAAGTTGCCTAGCCCCAAACAGTGAATATTCAATGATTGAATTTGTGGAATGAATGAATATCTGATGTGAACTCTTTTGGAAGTGTATCACAATGACCACTAAAACTATTTATTGAGTCAGGGTCTCACTCTGTCGCCCAGGCTGGAGTGCAGTGGCATGATCACGGCTCACTGCAGCCTCGACTTCTTGGGCTCAGATGATCCTTCGGCCTCAGCCTCCCGCGTAGCTGGGACTACAGGCACATGACATCATGCCCGGCTAATATTTTGATTTTTTTGTACAGTGGTCTCGTTATATTGCTTAGGCTGATCTTGAACTCCTGGGGTCAAGTAATCCTCCCGCCTCGCCTCCCAAAGTGTTGGAATTACCGGTTATTTGTTATTTGGAATTATTTGTTAATAAAACATCTTTTAGCCGGGCTCGGTGACTCAGCCTGTAATCCCACGCCTTTGGGAGGCTGAGGTGAGT